GTAACTTCATAAATGCAAGACACAGGTTCAGTCACACAGGATTTCCTGCTTCAGAAATGAGCTTTCCCCACTTCCCTTTAACAGAAATTTAACCCTCTTTATACCGGTCTCCTTAAGTGGTATAACAGGAAGTACAATCTTGATCTATGGCCTAGGTGCCACATGAAGCAACATGTGTTGCTTCACACGCTTCACTCCATATTTACAGCTTGTCTGTTGCAAAGACAGGCTTCATTTTTTGCGTTCGCCCATCTGTACATATTTCTGTCCTGGAATGTGCCTGGATTCTATCCTTTTTTTCTATTACATTTGCAGATTTTACTGGTTTGCCAGTGGGCTTCAGAGCTAAGTAGGTGATAAGGAAAAAATGACATGTAAATGTAGGCTGGTCTCTTGTTAATACCAGAAGCAACATTGGGTTGATAAATCAGATCAACTAACTGCATTTCCAACTTTGTGTAGTTCATGCAACACTTTTTAACCTGCCATCTTGGCAATATATCCTCCTCAAAACAGCTTGACTGTTGGAGCCCCATAGTTTCCTGAGGATCTGCTTCATCAGACAGGGCATTTATATGCATCTGGCATGAAATACTGCCCTGATCCATATTGTAGATGGCCACGGCTGATTTTCACAAAGGATTGGCAGAAGGCTGAAGCAATTGCTCTTGAATGTATGCAGCAGAAGCAAACAGCTTTCACCCTTTGCCACATGGAAGTCAGAAGATAAGAATTACTTATGGAGTCGTGTTGTCTGTTTTTCTGTGCAGATGGAGTGGATCAGAAGTTTATGCATCTGCTGCAGGGTCAGAAGACCAGCAGTCGTACGATCGAATCCACACGATGGAGGGAGCTCCAGTCGCTTTGTCCCAGCTCCTCACCAACCTAGCAGTTCGAAAGCATGTAAATGCAAGTAGATAAATAGGTACCACCTCAGTGGGAAAGTAAAACGGCGCTCCCTAGTCACGCTGGCCACATGGCAACGGAAACTGTCTTCGGACAAGCGCTGGCTCTACGGCTTGAAAAACAGGATGAGCTCTGCCCCCTAGAGTCGGACACGACTGGACTAAAGATGTCAAGGGGAACCTTTACCTTTACTGCTAATTCACATTGCTGGGTGTTAAACCTCTGTACATACCAGCTGTACTTCATGGGCAGATTCTATGAGTTAACGGATCGTGTACATGATAAAATCACAACCCCGAGAGAGAAGCCAGCTGCTTGCAAAGACCTGTTTTCCTGATTTTGTCTCTCTCTGTGTGTTTTAGGTCTGGAGGCCAAAAGTAGGCAGTGCCCTTTTGTTTGGAGAGTTGCATATCTATCTCTTAACAAAAAGCAAAATCTTTTTGTGCATTCAGGAATATCTGGAGCAGTCTGCAGAGGGGTTTGCTCTTGTCCTTCCAAAACAGCAGCTACAAGAGATTTATGATGTGGAGAGAATGCTGAGCTGGCTACAGCAGAATTCTGAGTCTCCCGCTGTGTTCCTTGCAGCTCACCATCTGGTCGGTGCTGCTGCTGGTGCTTTCAGACACGGATGAAGCTGCAACCGTTTGCACTTGCCGCACTGTAAGCAAGGGGAAACTATGCCTGGCCAGGAATGTTTGAGGCTGATCTCTCATGCTTGCTGGGCTTCCTGAACGCGAAGGCTGCACATATGCAAGGCGTGGTCTAAAACTCCCATAAAATATTTATCTTTAACTTGGCTTGCTAACTTAGGCTCCAAATCCCAGATCAACTGACATAGGATCAATCACCACCAGATTCAATGAGAACTTTTTCTAAAGAGGTGTTTCTAGGACGGTAGTTACAAGCTTCAGTCAGCCAGCTAGGTTTGGTAAAAGGTCTCTCGGTTCTGATGCCTCCTCTGAAAAAACCCACCACACACCACACAACGTAATCTAATCATCCAGAAGGGCAGTTTACATTCCAAAGCCAAGAAGATAAAGAGTGCCTGTAGGGACAGGAGTTGTCTGCCTTAAAGTAGGTCGGTATGCTGCAATAGACCTTATACACCCTCCTTCAAAATTTTAACAGCTTCACTTAGTCTGATTTCACTTCCTTTTACTTTTTACTGCCGTCTGCTGGTTAAGTTGTTGGTTATTTTTTTCTCACTTGTTCCTCCCCCCCCCCAACATGAAAGCTTTTCTAGACCATGGGAAAACATACGTTGCGTCATAATGCCGTTAAGTCATTTCTGACTTAATGACCTTGAAAGTGTTTGGTCACCAACGGCCCTTACTCAAGTCTTGCAAGCGAAGGGCCATGGCTTCCTTTATGGAGTGTATTTCACGTTAGGTCTTATTCTTTTCCTGCTATCACCTTTGACACCACCGCGATGCAAAAGGAAAAGAAGACAAAAAAACCAAACTAATCCAAGTATTTCAAGATTCCTTGTGTGTGCGCGTTGGGGGCCCGCGGATGTGATAGTTCTTGCCAAGCCTCTGCTGCCACCTGGCTTCTAACTTCTATAATGTTGTAAATTGTTCACTTCCTGCTCAATGTTTACTTGCATGATAATTATCAAAGAAAGGGAAAGTGACACCTCCAGTGTAATTAGTCAATGTCTCTGAGTTTACATTGATTACTTTTCTGCACAATATTATGCTAGCATAATCTGTAGACCCAGTGTGTATCACTGCAACAATATAGTACCTATCTATGTGCTGTCAAATCAGAACCAATTTACAGTAATCCCAATAGAGGTAAGTGGGATATTTAAAAATTAGTTTTACCAGTTCCAGCCCTCAGTCAGTTTTCATGGTCCAGCAGAGATTTAAACCCAAATCTCCTGAGTCCTAGCCTTTCACTCTGTCCATTACACTACACTGGACAGGTCTATTTGTATACATTGCCATTATGTGAATAGTGGGAATAGTAGATCCCATGGGAATTTGTAGGAGATGGGAGACAAATAGGGGGCATTTCCCCCCCATGTTCTGAATTTATTTATTAGTGTCATTTCTCGTAAATAAATTTGGAATTAATGGGACAAATGCAATCTTCTTTTCTCTCAAACCTACACACACCCACACCTGACTCGTACAGAGCCTACAATTATTCACAAAGCAATATACATGTGTTGAATTACAAGCTGGATATTTTAAAACAGTGACCTTCTTTTCGTTATCTGCCTACATAATTTGCTTACTAGAGGCATCCAAATCTCTCCCCCCCACCACCTAAAATGGAGAGTTGCATATTGAAAAATATGTGCCAAATTGTAACACGCTCCCGCTCTCACAAAATATCCTTTGAGGAAACATAGAATAGAGGCAAACATTTCGAATGTATTTATCGACTGGGGACCTAGAGCAACTACAGTAGTTTCTCTTGTTGCTCAAAATGGCCAACACATCACTATGCAGCCAGCTGCTTTGCTACCATATTTGGTATACAGAAATGGAATGAAAGAACAGGGAGATGGGGCAGTAGAGCAGAGGAATAAAATTAAGCCTGATTTTTCTGTGGCCATTGTGGTGCTTGAACATCTATGCGTCCAAGAACACAAGACTGGGCCCAACTGATGTGGAGCTATTTAAAGTCAACTGTTGGGAGGTATAGCTGAGCTTTGTGTAATTTGGTGTACATTACCACTTTCTGGCATGTGTGATTCTCTGTATCTTGTCCCCATCCCCCTGTATCTTCAGCAGTCTTTCTGAAGACTCCGAGGATGAACCCCTTATATTTCCGCAACCCACAACTAACGGTAAGTCTAATGGCTGGCATGACACTCCACCTCAGGTATAAGCTACTGTACAGCAATTACAATAATAAAAAAAGAATAAATCCTGCCTATAGTCTTATTATCTGGAGACAACCATGATGATAGGAGGCAGGGAATAGGAAGAAAGGAGAAGGAGAGGCAAGTGAATTGGAGGGCCTGAGGCTCAAAAGAATGGCTAAATGCTGTTTGCAACAAGTGAGCTGTTCTGATCACCTCTTTGAGATGGAAAATTTCAGTATAAACCTAAGCCAGTCAACCTTAACCACAAAACTGAGAGTGTGGGCAGAGGAAGGTGATGCAATTGTGCTGCAGGAACCAACCCAGAGTACTGGGTTTGAAGTTTAATGAAGTTCCAAATGTTGTTGAATTGTGCAATTCCCATCACCCTAGACTGGTGGTCCCCAACCTTGGGCCTCCAGACGTTCTTGGGCTACAATTCCCAGAAGCCTTCACCACCATCTCTGCTGGCCAGGAATTATGGGAGTTGGAAGTCCAAGAACATCTGGAGGCCCAAGGTTGGGGACCACTGCCCTAGACGAGGCAGTTAATGGAGAAGAATGAAGGGAGTTGTGACCCAGCTAAATCTGGAAAGCCGTACATACACTTTCCACGTCTGTTTTAAGAGCTTGAGTCCAGCATACAAGAAACTACTTATTTCTATATAAAGTTCCCTAAAACCATTTTGAGAAGCTCTTCTCCAGCTGGTTCCACTTTCAGAAATTAGGTGATGACAAGTGACATGACCTTTCCTATAGTCTATAGAGCACATACCCCAGATGTTCAGTAGCTACAGTGTAAGTTCTTCTATCTGCTCAAGGTTTGGATGATCAAGCAACAGCATTTTACTGCTTGTTGCATTTGGTTTGTACATTTTGTTAGCTATATTATAGTGAATTATTATTAGTTTATTATCATTTTAAACACCGCCCTGTGAATTACTGCCAACAACACAGTGATGCAGGGAAGAACAGAGAAAGCATCGAATGGTTAGTTGCCCATTGCATCATCAGAGCAATGACTGCCCATTGCATTCTCAAGGGTTTTGAGCACCTGCAATGTCAAAATTGTCTGGAAATGGCTCATTCGCCTGTAAGACAGAGTTTCTAATCACATCTGACAACAAAGAAAGAACCGATACACATAACACCCAACTAAACTAGCAAGAACACAGGAACCTTGGCCCTTTAGAAATCCTTTGGAAAGGACATTAAGGAAAAAGATAAAAACAAACAAACATAACAGAGATACTGTATTCTCGAAGAACTCTTTCCTTTTTAAAAAAAACAACAACACTCAATTTATTCAGTCTTTATACAATGTCACAGATCCCAACTGTTTTTTAAAAAAAGGGTCTGGAAGTAAACAAAAATCTCAGCAGCAACAGGAAAAGGCCATGGAAAAAAACTCAAATTGATGCAATAGCCTGTTGGGGGAGGGAGAGAGAGAGAGAGAGGGAGAGGAGGACAAACTTAGCACCAATTAGAGGTCACTGCAAGGTATCCTGGAGTAGGGTTCAGGCATGTACTCAAACCCTTGGCTACACAGATGTCACTTAACAAGGGTGGTGCAGAAGTTGACTGGAACCAAAAGAGGTTGATCCTGCTAGGCTGCACCTTTGGGGCCTCTTCTGATGCCATGCTTTCACATCCTGTGAGTGCTATCAAAAATAACACAGGATATGAGATGAGTGCTACCTTGCCCAACCGAGCAGCCTCCTGATGTTAGGACTGCAACTCCCAGCTTGCCAAGGTACTGTGGCCATGTTGGGTGGGGCGTCCAAATGCGAAGTATTTGCAGGGCACCATTTGGGGGAAAGCTGGATGAAAGCATGCACAAATTCTTCCCAGAGTTTCATCATTTGTGCACTTGGGATGAACAAGAGAAATATCCTAGGAATTCACAGGAGCAATTACGCTGGGAAGGAGGAGCTAAGCCTCGTCTGTCTGGCAATCCAACTCACTCAGCTTCGTTATAAGACCCAAGAAGCTTCTGGGCTTAGCAGAAGATGACCTGAGATTGCCTGATCCAGGGTGAACATTCCCACTCTTCCGAAAAATGGCAAGCACCTTATAGCGCAGTGGTCCTGCAGTCAAGACTCTCCTTTGAATACAATTCTGACGGGCACAATGAGCTGGCTCAAGGTTGACTCAGCCTTCCATCCTTCCATGGCTGGCAAGAAGAGTACCCAGCTTGCTGGGGGTGGAGGGCAAAATGCTCCTTGCATTATTATGTTGTGAACTGCCCAGAGAGTCCTCTCTAGCACTATGGGGCGCCGTGTAACTCGAAGCAACAACAATAATCTGATGAAGTGAGCTGCCATCCACAAAAGATTATGCCAAATAAAACATGGGAGGAAAAAGAACTTTTCGCTGCTTCTGACAGAAACTGGTTGTCCTTCTGGAGCAAGTGCTGTTTCCGAGAAGCTAAACCAAGACCTGATACTCATCCACATTTTTGATGGGGTGAGAACTGGAGAAGGGGCATTGAAATGATTGAACTCTGTGGCCTGCTTGGTCCCACGAAATGTCTTGGCAAAGAGATGTTGGGAAGGACGAGTTATGTACAAGTGGTTGTCTCCAAGGGTCTGGCCACTGGGCGTGTCAATCCCTTGACCCCCAAGTCTTTGGCTTGCCCTCAGACGTCTTGGCCTCCTCCATGCTGATTTCCAGAATGGGCAACAAATCGGTGGGATCCTCTGTGCTTGGCTTTTCTGTGGGATGTTTCTAGGTCAAAAGAGAAATAAAAATTATGACCCAGCGGTGTGTGTATTTATTTATTTACTACACTGCCTTCTGAGGCACAGTTTCCCCCCCCCCAAAGCAGTTCACAGAGCAGGTACTTCAAACTGTGAACTACAAAATGCAGTTCATTAAAAGAGCACACTATGTTTAAAAGAGCACAAAACAAACAAAAATACAGTCTAAAAACTAGCCCTGTATACAGTTAAAATGAATGTAGAACCACCAGATACTCAAGGCCTATTTGGAAAGAGTCAGAAAGGGAGGGGACATGAATGTCTGATTTGGGGCATTCCAAAGAGACAGAGAAAACCCTCAAAAAGGTCCGGCCACTGCAACAGATTTTATTGGCAGGCACAGCAGCATCTAAATCCTTTTCCTTGACATGAATATACCAAATGGAAAAATAGAAAGGGGCAGAGCTGGATTATTTGCCCAACACATTCCAGACACCATGAACTTTTTTTTTCTTTGCAGATGAGACTGAACAGTCTTTGATCCCATTATCATAACAATGGGTTGTTTTCAGCCAGTGCCTTTCCCAACATCAGTTCGAGACAGAATACATGGCTTCCCTTCACCTCGTTGGTATTTCACAACAACCCTTTGAGGTAAGGTCAGACCGAGAGAGAGGAACTGGCCCCGTGTGACCCAAATGGGCATCACGGTTCATTGGGGACTAGAACCTCCGTTCCCAAGTCAGGTGAATGAATGATCCTGTCGGGTGGGCGCTCCTTGGATCGGCTCTTGAGAGACCAAAGGGAAGATGGAAGTAACTGGCCGACATTTACCTCAAACTCCTTACTTTGCTCTTCAAGGAATACTTTCACCTTCTCAAAGTCAGGAATTTTGGGATATATGAGCCCTTTAATTCTTCGGAAAGCCAGTAAGGAGAGAGAGAAGGAGAGATGGAGAGAAGGAGAGAGAAAGAGAGAGAAGGAGAGAGAGAGAGAATTGATGAGTTCTACACAGCAATTTTAATTTGACTTTGTTGAAACAATTCAGAATTGCATTTGGTTTTGTTTACACAGAACATCAAAATAGACCAGATCCAGAGTTTTGGGAGAGCTACTTTTGCAGGCTTAAGACTCCCAGATGCCCCCCCCCCAGCATGGCTCTGTGCTGTGGTTCTACATAAATAAGCCAAAATGCCACTTCAAAATTTTGTTCTATAACCATTTTCAAGCTCTGATTAGTTCTTCACTTGACAACATTTCCCCAATGGGAATGGAAAAAATGTTTCTTACAATGAAGCTGTAAAATAGTGGTTCGGTCTTGCTTTCCTCAAAACACCTGTGATCTGTTTTATGTTCATCATCATTATTCGGTCTTGCTTTCCTCAAAACACCTGTGCTCTGTTTTATCTTCATCATCATTATCATCATACAACTGCAGAGCTGGAAGGGACACTATGGATGATGGAGTCTGGCCCGTGCAGAGCTGGAAGGGATGCTATGGATGATGGAGTCTGGCCCACATCAAAGAGGCTCAGTGGGGAACCGAACTCCCAGTGTCTGTCTCCGCAGCCAGAAACCTAAACCCTGAGCTAATCCATAAAATCAACAGGATTTAATTTGGAATGGGTTTAAATCTCAGAAGGAGGTTCCTGGAATCAAGGCTGACGTTCAATGTCTAACTAGGTTTTACAGCCTTTTATCAACATTCTTCAGTTCTCCACCTTAACTGCAAACATTCTCGTGCTCAAGAGAAACAGGAAACAACGTGGAACTACTTTGAGACAGGAATACGCACGGTACACAAGGCAGCATTCATAGTTCTTCTCTTACCTCTTCTGGTAAGCGAGCAAAATGACAGTCAGAGTGACCACACAGAACAGGATCAGAATTAGCAGAAGAATGTTGAACGGGCTGCCACTATCATCTAAAAAAAGCAAGGAAGAAAAAGTCTGAAGAATTTAAAAAGCACCCACCTTTGGATCAGACCCCGCCCCCAGTCTCCTCTAGATCCAATTTTCAGCTGTGGCAGACAGGTTTTAAACAGATACATCTATGAGACTGGTTTCAAAATTAACCAGCATGCCACAGATATTTTCTCTTTTCTTCCCATACCACAACTTTTCTCCGGTTCAAAAAAGTTTCAGCTCTTTGGAGAAGCCTCTTATATTCTCTTGTATAGCACGCAGCATATTATTCATTCTGCCATCCTTATCCTTACCGTTTTATGAGCCCTTATTAATTGTCTTGGTGTTTGTTCAACCCTGCTGTTATCGTTTGTGCAAGACAGATTGAAACATAAAAAGTTGTTGACATTCAAGTGTCCTATTCCCAATCATTTTATTCTCTTTTCATTCCTACTACTAGCCAGTGATCCTGACTAGGAGTCAGGATTCAACAGTGGGATGAGCAGCTGGACCAGGAAGACTAGCACTCCAAGCTACAGAGGTGCTGGATCCAAGCCTCAGTCAAGAGCCCTAACCAGAGATCCCCAAACTGGGAGAGAGATTCTGGGCTCAAAAGAGTTACGAAGCTTATTAAGAGTCAATCATGCTTGTACACATAGGCTCCCCAAAACGAATCACAAACTACAAGGAGATGTGCTACGACAATCAAGTATTTCAACACTTAATGAATTTCCTCCTTCTAATGATGTGTTCTCTCTAATGTGCATTTTAAACCCTTGGCTAGACTCCTTCCAATCTCTTTGGCTCCAGTAGCTTTTTTGGAGCTCTCCAAAGTTCTGCAGTTTGAGCTTGGCGCACCCATCCTCCGGGGTCTGTGGGGATTTGCTGGCTCCCTTCAGAGAGAGAGAATAAGACAACTGGCTTTTCTTGGACCTCCATAAAACGTTCCACACAGAATAAAAAAGAAACCCAGTTTGCATTATGAAACCATCGCAAATCAAGAACAAGTTCCTCTGAGTGGATGCTGCTCAGACGTCAAAGACTTAGCCCGAGTGTGAGGATGATGCTGCTCACCCCAAACGACAGGGTCGCTCCAATCACTCCAGTAACCATCTTTCTGCTGACACCGCGTGGCGATTACACCTCGGACGGCTCTCACCCGGAACGTGTAGCGCTCGCCAGATTTGATGGGGATTGTCACATTAAAATCATCCAAGAAAGTCTAAAGAAGAAAAAAAGAAAACAGATCATTGACCAACATCCTGTTGTAAATACTTAACTGGTGCATTTAAAATTTATTTGTTGAAAAAGATTTGTACAGGCTTTTAAAAAAAGAATTACAGTATGAATTTCTTGCTCGGCATGTGGCATCCATGGTATAATTCTCTGCTAACATGAACTTTATGGCTCTTTTGTGTGATATTAAACAGACTCATGAAACAGCAGGCTTACTGTTTGGAAGATGAGCGTCTGGGGTCTTGGAAATTGCAACATGCAGCCTTCTGCACATGTTGCTGTAATCTGGAAATGGGGCAGCCCCACCCACATCAGGTCTCTGGAGACCAGTTAAAAGAAGACTCCCTGACTCCAAGCAGTAGGGAGAAAACCCCCTCTGTCTGAGACAAAGTCTCTTTATCCATTAAAAGTCACTTTAAAAAAAACCAACAACACAAAACAAATAATTAGAGTTGAAATATCTAAGTGTGCACACGATTAGAAAAGAAGAAGTAACAGGACCAAATAACTGAATCTAGTGCTGCAAAACAGCTGCACCGATGGGTCACCTTCTCAGAATGCACGGAAGAAGCTACTGTTATTGCCACAGTTCCAGATGAGGAATTCTCAAGATGCCCAATAGTTAAGATCCAGGGATAAGAAATAATTCCATTCCCATCTTTCCAGAGTAGGGCTGCCGGCACAAGAGTCCACATCTCCTCCCTGAACACGAGAAGGCGGCTCTGATGACTTACACCGGGAGTCCTTGGTCAAGGAACACCTCGACACTCAACGCCAAGGTGTTTACGTTACACGTCAACGTTTGTTATGAAAGTGTCCTATAATTCCCTTTGCTCATGAAATGAGAAGCACTGTTACAAGTTAGACATGAAAGCAACTCACGGAGTTCTTTGTTGCGGTATTATTGCTTTCTATTTCGTAGCATATACCACTGCTTGAGGTAGGACGGGTCCAGATCAGACGTACTCCAGGACCGCTCTTGCTGATGTTTACAATGGATGGAGGATCATATTTTATTGGAAACTCTAAAGGAAAAGAAGCAAATGGCCCCCTTAAAAACAAACAAACAAACCAACATTGAATTTCAAGGTGGACCACGTGTCAGATCTTCTCCAGAAGGTAAACCCAAATGTTATTTTCTTCTGTGAATTGAGAACAGCTATTCTTGCAAAGGAAGTGCAGTGGCACTGTCCTATTTAGGAAGCTGCGTTGAGACTGGACGACACAACCCACTGCAAAACCCACTTTCCCAAGAACACGGTGCACAAAACGCTGTACAGTCAGCAATGCAGTTACAAGAATGAACGCAGTGAAGGGAGAAAGGAGAGACAGCCAGCAGCAAGAGGACAGGCCTCCCTTAACTCCAGCAGAATGTCCCACTTTAGCTTCATGGACAAGGTCCTTGTCAATGGGAGAGAAGGCTTGAAAACAGGACCTCATCCAAATCATGCATAAAAACTTACTATCTCTTCTGCCGCTTCTTGCCAACACGCACACTGGCCGAATGTCTCTGGAATTGCCTCGGATGGAAACAGCAATATCATCTTGTACTGTATCTTGATGGAAAGAGCACTGGAAGACGTCACCTTCTTGACTGTAATCTATGCATAGCCTTTCTTTGTCCATGCCGCTGTGCCTTGAGGGTGCAAGAGGAAGCCTCACATCAGTACATTGTAAAGCCAGGATGACAGATGCACACAATGAAACAATAATGCCGACAGACCACAAAAATACCCCCTAAGGCCACAATGAGGTGAGAAGCCGCAAAGTGCAATGGGAATGAAATTAAGGAGGGCCGTGTTATTTGGCTGAGTTTCTGAACATCCTGGATTCACAGATGCCCCCCAAAATGTCAGTTTTGGATCAATAATGCCTGGTCACATTGACAGGAAGCGCTCTGCCGAACACACAGATTTCTTTTCGACACACACCTGTAGGTTCTTACCAGAAGCCAGCCAGATCCTGTGGTGGCAATAATTTACATTCAGGAATGATCATTGTCAGAGTAAGAGCCTTGCCTGATTTTAATGTCTAGTGAACCAGGCCTGGAACTATGGTAGCCCCTGCTTGTATTTCCTTTGACTGTGACAAGAATTGTCAAACTGTCTGAAACGTTTGGGCGTAATCAGAACACGGAGCAGTCCTACAATCAAAGTAGTATTATGTACGAGCTGCCTGTCATTGTATATCTTTTTTACTTATCAATAGCTGCCTCTTTTCCACACACACATATATCAAAGTGTGTGTGTATGTGTGTGTGAGTGTCTATATTTTCTTTTAATGTTCTGACCTATAGACAAGGGAAATTAGTCAAAGAAAGTTCACGCACAACAAGATGCTTCATTATTTTTACTTCCTCATTCTGCTTCCGAATGGCATGACGAAAACATCCAAAGTAACCACAATCAGCTCTGAACAAAGGGATGCAACTCTGAAAACCAAAATGCACTCCACTTCCTTTAAAAAGCAGAATATGGGGGCAGGATCCATCCCTTCCACATCCCTGAAGCCTTGTGATGGGTACCTAGGGCAAAGCATTGAATAACTCTTCTGAATAAACTTGTTCATAGAAAAGGAAAACTCAGCTGTTCCTGGACACGAGGAGGCACCATCCAAACAGAGTTCGAAACCCCTGAGCGCTGAATGAGAATCCCTTACCATTCTGCGCTGAACAGGCTCAACAGTCGTCAAGCACCCAACCTCGCTTTGGGAAATAAGTATTTTCAGGTACAAACCAGAAAGACATGCTGTAGGATGTGTCTCGATCTGCATTCTCTCCACGCTGCCATGAACACGCAATGCGCTTCCGATTATGCCAGATACACTTGACGTTAGCAGCTTCGGTCCTTGCAATACCTGAAAAGGAAATGAGGCAAGCAGGGTCAGGAGCAGGATTAGTCCCAGCAAACACCTTCCATGAAGTGATAAAATACCGCCATGGCCCTGTCCAGAGATACCTTTTGCAAGCTGCTATGTCTGGAAAAACCATCATACAAACAGAATGCAAAGGAAATTCCTCCCATCCGCCACTGAAATCAGGATCGCTTGCAACTTGTGAATCAGTGAAGAAAATTTAGAAGCAAATCACACCCCCTCTACTTCTTAAGCCAGCTCTGCTTCTAATTGCAAAGCTGCCCATCCCATGTGTTTTGGTCTTAGTTCCTGGGCTCTTTCTGAAAGATTTCACACTACTGTGGCTGATTGTAATGTAATATATTATAGGAAAAAATTGATTAGAAATTAATTCCCCTTGGACTACGTCTAGGTTGGGGCAGGGATTTTGCACAGGTTATTGAAATGGCAGAGTGTTAGAGAGCAATCAAAGCAGAGAAAGGTCAGCATGCCATAATGCAGGGCGTGGGCACAACTCCCAAGATGCTGTCTAGCTCAAAGCATGCCTACAAATACGTGGCTCTACTACTGCATTTTTAAGAGCAGTGGTGCAATTTTTGCAAAATACCAACTGAGACAGATAGAAAAACACACCCAGAGTAAGCAAGGACTTACCCTTTGGTGGAAGTGTGATATTAACCCACTCTCCAACCATGTTTCCACATTTAGGTCTCACACGGAAAACAGCCGTTCGATTTAGGAGCACCAGATGTTTTTTGAAAGGTTCATGACTGTATTTCTAAGTTTAGAAAGGAGAAAAACAATCACATATATCAGAATGAAAAACGATTCATTTCTGAGCAGTCCTGTAATGGCTCTATCTTAACAGAATATAAGTATAGAGCAATGCTAATTGTTACTTCCTTGAAGCCTGCAACTACAATCCTGTACATGCTTACCTGGGACTTAGTCCCACCCAGCACTGAGACATTCCTTCTAAGTAGACACGTATACAGTAATACGTGTAATGGATTATACAATAACTAACCTCAACTCATACCTTTCATTATGATTCTTGGCTTTGCTACTTGTTTAATCTTCCCACACTTCCATTATATTAGGTCTCTCTATCTGTTTTCTTTGACTCAGTAAAGTTTTCCAACTTCTTCTATTGTATAAAGAAGCTTAAGGGTCTTTCAGCTTTTATGCCTCCCAAGACACCAAAAATCACATTCCTTTGTGTTTGCATGCGTGTGTGTGCACACAGCTGGTTATAAGAACAGCTTAACTTTCCATAGCTAAAAGAGGCAGCCCTAACCCTTAAAACTCTGCACTGGAAATAGCGTGCAGAGGGCCATGGACCCTTCTCCTGAGGGGTAGGGAGGTGCATTTGTGTGTATTTAGCTGTTTTAAATATATATATAGCCCTTCAGTGAAGCAGAAGGATCAAAACACCCACATCAGATTTCAGAATTCTAAGATTTTGAACAAAATCAGGAGTTTTTTTTTGGGGGGGGATGCAATGTTATTATTAGAGCCAAAAGAGGTGAAGACGAAAAGGGAAACAGGTGACAGATACTTAAGAAGCAACACATCTCTTGACCTCCCAATCTTTCTGGCACCCCTCCAACATCATTTTACTGCCTCACAATAATAGACAATAAGGAATGCAAATCATTCCAGGGCCTACAGTGTCTGAGTCTTCGCCATCCATCGGCTTCAGCTCCGACTGATAATTTAGTCTGCAGGAGCCATTGACGGGCGGTAAAGGATCCCACCAGGCGTTCATGTGGCAGCTGCCTTCGCTGATATTATACCGGAGTCCAGTCAGGCTAGGGAGGACCAGCAGAAACTCTATGAGGGGGGAAAAAAACAGAGGAAAAGAAACCCATCACGTCTAGTTCTTTCGAAAGCATTGCAGACACACCGATGGGCCACAAAGAGTCCTCCAGAACTTCAGTAGAGATTTTTCCAGACCCACCTGGAGAGTGAACGGGCAAACTTTTACATGCAAAGCGTCCTCCCTCTTCAGATGATTTGATGTGTAAGCACTGACTTCGTGGCACAATTGGTCCCTGCTCAAGACTTTCCAGCCGGCTCTCTCCGTGTGTTGGAGAGGAGGCGGAGGTCCCGGTGACGGAGACTCTCCCCCAGTTGTGAACATAGCTGTACCTGCCTGCCAGTCTCCCTAGCCCCATGCCTGCAACTGGCTGCAGCTGTACAGCTGCTGACAGGGAGTCTTCCAGCCAGCCTTGGGACCCGCGGCTGAGCCCTGCACTTCTGTACACACAATATAAATCTGACGGGGCTATGGAACATCCAGCGCGCAACATCACCACAACTCAGGGAAATAGCTAACAGCAGTTGTCTGGATCAGCCCTGAAGCTGTGGCTGAGAGCAGTTGTTTGGAAGAGAAAAGCTTGAGGAAGAGGTGGCAGAGATGAGGCATTAAGGTCAAAGCTGCAGAATGCAGTTTTCAACTTTGCAATTGATTTAGTGTGCAAGTACAAAGAGGCATTAAATTGCTTTAATAGTATTCGACAGAGTCTTAGAACTTTGTGTGTGAGAGAGACAGAGAGAGAGAGAGAGAGAGAAGACACCACTTCTTCTCCTTCCCTCTCACCGAACTGCACATCCTAAGACATGAGAATGGGAGAACACTTTGACATGTGCCCACATGTACTCTCTTCACACCCTTGGCATGCTTTACCAGCTCCCTGGCATCAGTGGCGTGCTTCTCAGAAACAGCTGTGTTGCCTTTGAGTTCCGTTTCTGCATGCGGGGTTGTGAAACCATAAACTAGCTGTCCTTCCTTCCTTCCCAATCGTGTTTTCATTGTTTTTGTTTTTGTTTTTGTTTTGAGAAACATCTGCAGGGACGGATCCAAGATGATCTGCACCCGTTGAATCTACCCTGTTCTAAGCACCATTTTGAAAGCCACCTTTTCATTTCTGATAAAACAGAAGATTCATTAAATCCCCACCCTCAGCTGAATTATGCACGTACTTATCTTTGGCAACCTTGATCAACCGCACCCACCTCCAAGGTCTCCGTTGGCCAAGTGGCCTCCACTCCCTTCCTTGTCGCAAGAAGCTCCTGAATCTAAACTCGGCACAGCCCGCAAATCTTTATGTCCACTTCCTCCCTCTTCTTTATGGATTACACTCTTAAACTGAGCAGAGCTCTCGCGCCACTTATGGCCCATTGAGAATACAAACTGTTAACATCGATGTCATAAAACCCTGACTAAAGAAACAGAATATGAAAGACCAAGATAAAACTACCAGCAGAGAACGAACCACTTCAGCACATCAAACCAATGAAAAGCTGGCAGCAGGATAAAAGTGTGGAGATGCAGAATCACTAGAACAACTTTCTAGATGGCTGGGAGTCTGCAAAGAGCATCAACCTGGCAGTGAAAAGACTCTAAATGTAGGTACCAGACACGCCTCCTTGGGTGGGCATCATACAAACCGGGGGCCACCGCTGACAAAGCCTTCTCTCTTGTAACTCTCCACCTGGCCTTTTTCGGAAAGGGTGCTTGGTAGGAGAGCCTCCAGTGATGCTCTCAGGGTTGGGGCGGATAAATAGAGGAGGTGCTCCTTTAGGTAACCTGAACCCAAGCCCCATTCGGATTAAAAGTGTCCCCTTGGATCAGGCATGGAAATGGACCAGCAGCCAATGCAGGTACGAAAAGAACCAATTCCAAATTTCATTTTCACTTACAGGCCACACTGAACTGTTATTTGGTATTTATTTATTTGCCATTCTCTGTTCTTTTTCAACCTCTCAAGAGGAATTGTACCACGAGGAAATCAGCAACTGCTTAAAAGCATTAGAGGACACTTACTGTTTGTAGTTTTAGAAGAGGTAGCCGTGTGAGTCGGCACAAGCATATCAGGCAAAGCACAAAGAAACCAAACAATTAAAAAAAAGGCAAAAATGGGTGGCACCTTAAAAACTAACCGTTATATTTTAATGTAAGCTTTTGTGGACAGAAGGGAACGGAATGAAGTGCACGTGAAATGACTATTTGAAATCTTCTGAGAGCTGACCTTTCTCTTCGTTAATCTAGTGTACCGTGGAAGTGTAATCACAGTTCACTTGATGTAAGGAAGGACCCTTGTGTTTCTCTGTGGCTCTACTCTCGGGCGATGGGGCAAGTGGCCCTGGAGAGAAACCCTCCCGTGGGCAGCCCAGGAAGTGCCCAAACTAGACTTCAACACTTCTCTCTTTGCTGGCTCTGCATGCTTCATCTTGGCTCGGTACAGAGTTGTACACAAGAGCCGACGCACCAGGCCCGAATGGGCGGCGTCTTCCCCTTATTTCTGTGCTCGGTGAAGCCTTCTGGCAAACGTGAAAGCTTGCACCACTTCTGTGTCACCTTAGATCATTTTCTGTGGTTCTAAAGTGGGTGTCACTTAACTCTGAATTTGATAGACACTTCTCCCATCAACAAGGCCGGGGTCAGGGGCGCAAGACCTTTTGATAGACACTTCTCCCATCAACAAGGCTGGGGTCAGGGGCGCAAGACCCCCCCCCATGTAGTTCAAAATCTTATAACACTAGGCACCACCGCCCCATGTAGTTCAAAATCTGTGTATAACACTAGGCACCACCGCATAGAAAACAACATGGGCCTCAGTCCGTCTCCCCTTTTTGCAGGCCACTTTCTGGAGACAAACAGCAGCATAATATTGATTGACATTTTATTTATTGTTCGGAAGAACTGTCTGTCTGTCTGTCTGTCTATCCATGTATAATCAAAACCATGCTACTCAGACCAATGCAATTCAAGGGAGAAGTTTAATATAACTTCCATGGCAGGGGAATGGTGATGCTCCTTTGGTACTGAACTCCGTGATGAAATGGTGTGAACGTGGAGCTTGTGGTAGAGTCACAACAACCTTGAACTCCTGGTGAGCAGCTTCAGGATGGCCAGGGGGTAATGGGTGGAGGGGGGATGGATGATGAAGGAGATGCAAAATGCAAACACAGCTCTTGAGCAACGAGCAGGCCACGTTCAGCACCCTCCGGTGCTGTGGCCAGTTGCCAGTTTGGCTGCTGGTCCAAACTCAGCCCTCGAAATGCCTAGCTGGATTTCTGCTCTCCAGTCCGATAAGCTAAGGACAGCAAGCAGCAACATGCACGTTGCTCAACACTTGTTTGAACCAATCTTCAAACGAAACATGAACCTTTGGAGATCGATTTTTCAGCAGGCCCGAAAAGCTGCCAACTGAGACAAAGAAGAATTGGTTGAAAATACAGCTCCTGGTTCATCGCAACTTAACAGAAAAGCCAATCCCCATTTGCTGTTGTGAAGACTGGTATTTACTCTTTTTATATCCAGCCCTTCACCGTGAGAGCCCACGGGCAGCCAACAATGCCCTAAACGGTTGGAGTCACAAAGAGATCCAAAAATCACAAATTGCATGCTCCTAAAACGACGCCAATTAGAACATCTGCAGTGAACGCAGCAAAAGCAACACCGACACGTCAGAAGACAAACACACTAAACAAACCGAGGACCAAAACAACCTCCCATCGATACAAATGGGTTTTTGTTTATTAGCGGGATAGCTCAGTGGTTTACGTCTCCGGCTTCAGAACCAGAGGTTGGGAGTTTGATTCCCCAGAGCGGACTCGGCCACCCCTAGAGTCCCATCCAGCTGTGCACTTCTAAAAGGATGAACCGGAAATGGAGCAGAATGTGTTGTGGCTCAAGTTCAACAACTAAGTCCCATTTCTGGGGCAGGAAGCCAACAGCAAGACTCGTCCTCCTTTTGGGATTGTTTTATTCTACAAAATAAAACTTCTACAAAACCGGACGGGGCCCCAGTCCCCTCTAGGAAGTCATTCAAACCACCTCTATGTGCTCGTTTCTCAGTATTAATGGTTAACGTTTTTTCAGAATAAAGCCCAAGGACCTTAACAAACATCTTTCTTAGTAAATATCTAGGTCTCCTCCCACGCACGCTCTTTAGCAAACGTAACTGGGCCACAGGTAAGAAGGCAGCTCTAAAATTGATCTTTTCATTTACCGCAGCATACACTGTACTGTGCATCTCCCCAGGTGTGTATTCATTTATACACACCTGGGGGTGTGTATCCCCAGAGGACACACAGAGTGCTGTCCCCTGAAGATGCCCATGGCCACAGAGACTGGCGAAACATTTGGAAGAACAACTTTCAGAACAGGGCCAAAGAACCCGAAAAACCCACAACCACCATGTGTATTTTATTTATTTAGAGCATTTCTATCCCACCCTCTTATTTTGCGCTCTTTGCCCCAGTGGTTCTGAAACCCAGATGTTCTTGGACTGCAATTCCCAGAAATCCCGGCCAGCACAGCAAACAGCGAAGGCTTCTGGGAGTTGTAGTCCAAAAACATCTGGGGAGCCTAGTTTAAAAACCACTGGGCCAGCTGACCCCCTGGTTCCCTCCAACTCTAAGCGTTTTGTGATTTTATATATATATATACACACACACATTTATCCGCATCCTACAGTGTGTGCTTCTAGGTTTGTGTGTACAGTATATACAATCACCAAAGGCGACGCACAGTTTAAAAAAGAAAGAAAGAAAGAAAGGAGGAAAGCAACAGACCTTCCCAAGGGGGGAGAGCAGCCGGGCGCGAACTCGCTGTGGGGCACCCCAAACCCCAACCACGCCAACCCCTAAGAGGAAGGGCAGTGGATGGCCAGAAGGCGGAGCGGGCGTTCTTTAGGAGCCCCCCCTAAACCCCCCCCACCTGCGCAGGTGAGTCTCCTCCGGGCAGGTACGGCGGGAAAAAAAGGCATCGGAGAGTCCGGGCGGGAAGGAAGAGCCCGAGGCCCCTCCTCGGGAGTAAGGAGCCCGGAGCCCCCTCGGCCGGCCGACTTCCTGCGAGCCGGGCGAGGCTCCGCTGACTTTCGAGGAAGCGCGCAGGGGCGACGGGGCCGGTTGCTCGCGGG